TGGAACAGGCCCACGTCATGCTTGGCTGATTAGTTTTGATTTACATTTCGCAAGTCTAGTGCCATACGCAGCAAAAGTCCGTTTCTAGTGTTGTTGTCAAATGCATTTCATAACCAGGCTGGTTTTTTGATTTACGTTTTGGAATAGAATTTGGAGAGGGCGTTTGATCAAGTCAGACCTACGTTTTGAATTTGAATTACATTTTGAAGAAATTAGAACTACATTTTGAAAATTTTGAACTTCATTTTGGGAAACTAGATCTACATTTTGAGAAATTTACGCCTACGTTTTAATAAATTAGACACTGAATTTTGCAATTACATTTTGATTTTAACATGGACTTTTGCTGCGTATGGCACCCCATACGATTAAGCAATCCCATAGAAAGCTGAACCCGCCCACTTATTTTGATCTATTGCCAGGGAAATTGGCCTTCCCATCAGGGACACCCGCCCCCAGTGGCGCAGAGAGGCCACTGTAACCGGGGCGAGTGCCCCGGGACCCGGGCCCAGCAGGGGCCCGGGATAAGAAGTAGGCAACAAATAATAAAATATAATGAATAAATAAAAATTATTAAACGTATACATTCATCCAGTATTATTCATGTGTTTTTCCAACGAGAATTGTAAATAAAGCTGACAGTTTATCAATGAAAGCTGGTAATTAATAGCTTCCAATTGTTTGTCAAAAATATTTTCATGACTTCTAATACTATAGAGTTTATGTTTACAATGTATCAAATAGTAAATTCTTTACGTTATTATTATTATATTATAAATAATTATATAAGGCTTGAACCTGGACATCGTCAATATATATACAAGTTAGAAAATATGAAGACCTGATAACGATTCGATTGTCAAATAAATACTGAATTAATATATTAGACCAGTTGTGAATTTAAGGGGAGGCCCAGCCCCCACACACTAAATCTTTATTTTTTTTTAAATGAGAAATCGGCCTTCCCATCAGGGACACCCGAGAAAAAACAAAATTCTACTCAAATTTAGTCTTCATTTCCGACAGTACAGAGGTGCCATGATCATAACTTTTTCATACCTCAGCCTCAACCAGTGTGGGGCTCAGACAGTAGATAGACCGTCTATCTGTGAAAGTCCTTCAAGGGCCCCTCTATTTCAAATTCCTGGATCCGCCACTGTAAACTTTTATACCTATGCTACGAATCTTTTCAGCACGCTTCAATAAATGAAAGGAAGAAGCTTTTACTTTTCATGTTCCTATACTTTATTTTTCATGACCTGGTGAAATAGGCATTCTATAATCGATTAAATTAGTCCTCTAATCCATTAAAAACCGTAGCTTCCGGGGGAGGGGGAACCAGGGGTCTTGCCCTCGATTCCGCTGACGCCCTAGCAGTGGCTTCACGGAGTGTGTGGGGCCCTGGCGCTGACTCTTATTGGGGTGAGCGAAGCGAGCGCTAAGTTTTCGTGCCTGCGTTTGAAAATCTTGGAGACACCACTCAACGGTGTGGACAGTACCGTTATCTCCAAACAAATTTTCCCTGCACTTTACGGCACATTTATAGCTATCTATTTACAAGAGCAATAATTCGCAGCGAGCATCAACTTTTGCAGCAGGGGTGTTTCATCGAATGGGCCAGATTCGCGGTAAAATTTGTCGGAAAAAATTAATGGGTTATTTGAAATACTTTCTAAGCAAGAAACACAGTGGCGGC